CGATACTATACTTTTCGTCTGCATTGTTCCAACTACTGGGAAAGCTGGCCAGGTCTCCTTAAGCTTTCTCCCCTCCCCAATTACGTGACCAACACCATTGCGGCGGAACCTTGCGGCGCGCCTCAACAACTTACACCACACCAGCATTGTCCTTGGCGTCAAGGAACGCCTGCTGAACAACATCCGCCACGAACCACTATTCTACCTCCACCATCACCACCGCAAGCACTACTCACCCAGCCATACGCACACGGTTTTCGCGACAGCAACAGCAACGACGGCCGCCTCTTCAGAGACCAGCACCGTTTCTTTGCTTGCCTAGACAGAGCTGCGCATCAACGCCGCGTCGTCCTCGTTTCTCTGCGATCTCGCCGGTGCCAGCGCCTAGCGACAGCACTGTCCGCCCCTTGAGGAGAGCGTCTTCTTCGGAGTGGCTGCTCTGACGCATGTTGCCACCCAGGCGAGCCACGGGTACGACGACTACGACAGCAGGAAAACCTGACGCAACTGAGGTGCTATGGATTTCGAAGGACTGAAGGATCGGAGGAACGCTGCCTTGCCGCGTCTGGGCATATCATCGCAGCCTCCCGAAGTACCCAGTGAGAACACCATGGCCCCTCATTCCTCCCGCCAGGACCAGACACCCCGATGGCAAGGTGACTTGCCAGGGGAAGCCCAACTGAGGACTTCCCCGGCGGCCGCCTCGCGTTATGGTCCGCCTTACGACTCTAGAAACATTCTAACGCGGACACCAACAGGAGGCGGCGCTGACGTCTTGAGTCCTGGTTCCTCGACTTCTGGAGCAAACAGCGGCAGTTCTCAGCACAGCGCCCTCAGCGGGCTGTCCAGTCACTATTCTGCCCATGGATCGTGGCCGACGCCCAGCGCCCCAGCTTACACCCTCAGCTCCGTCTCCCCAACCCCAAATACCCTCACACATGCGCATACGCATCCATATGACCATAAGGCGAGCTCATATGATCCCGGGTCGTCCATGTACAACACCACCGCTCGCGCCCCCCATGACCCCTCCCCCACCTATGGCCACGCCCACAGCAGCCACGCCAACGGCCACAGCCAGCACCAGTTTCCTGGCAGCCTCTTCGGCCACGGAGGCGCCGCGTCAGGCAGTCTGCCATCCCACGGCCACGCTCACGGCCACACGGCGCCGGGAGGCGGCATCCTGAATCCCCAGTCGACGGCCTCGACGCAACCTCCAACGCCCTTGAGCGCCGTGTCTCACGTTGATCCATATACACGGCCCCCTTCGACTCCAAGCTACTTCTCGTCGGCATCCACGCCGGCATCAGCCATCCTTCGGCTCGGCGCCTCATCAACCCTCCTATTATCCCTCTTCGTCCAGTGCGCCCTCGCCCAACCACGTCCACGGCTGCCTCCAGGGGCCTCCACGCCCTCGCCGGACATCACTCTGGCATGGCGCCCGCCTCAACCATATCGTCCGTTTCAGTATAGTATGCAGGTTCCATCCATGGGCGGTCCCATCATGTCCAACCTCAGCAATCCCAGTGGACCGCTCTCCGTCATGCCAGGCACGACTCTTCCGGGATAAGGCGGTCACCATAGCAGCACATGTATGGGGCGCATCAGAACAACCCTCAGGAGCGCCCCTTCAAGTGCGATCAATGCCCCCAGTCCTTCAACCGAAATCACGACTTGAAGCGACATAAGCGCATTCATCTGGCGGTCAAGCCCTTTCCTTGCGACCACTGCGACAAGAGCTTCTCTCGGAAAGACGCTTTAAAGGTTGGTCTCGCTCCCGTTATACCTCAAGGCAGTGCATACTAACACGTCTACAGAGGCACCGCCTGGTCAAGGGATGTGGCGGGGAGAAGACGAACGGTACAGAAACAACACGCTCTCCGGGCGGGGGCTCTGATGGCAGCGAAAGCCCACTGGCGCCATCTATCAAGAAGGATGACGAGTAGAGGAAGAAACCTGTCGTTTTCACAAGCTGGTACGAGAGGAGCAGGGCCAAGACATGGACTTTATGTTATTCTCGTCTCTTAATATTTCTACTGGACGTTGCGGTCCGTTTGTCTTTTTGGGTTTTCTATCCCCCAACGATGGGGCAACGGACAGCCAAGGCAGCATTTGCGAGGTGGTTGGGTTACGGTCTGGGAGGGGCGCCAGGACAAAAGGGAGGCATTGGGCATTTTACCACTTCGGTCCAGACTTTGAAGTCTTCTGGTTTTTTTTTCCACCCCCCGTCTTGTTGTATTCTTATGATTCTGTTGATGTATGGGTTTTGCGAGTAACAGGCTTGCTGAAGTATTCTGTCGAAACAGCCCCCTGATCACCAGACTAATCACTTCCATCGCTCGTGTTTTCGACGGTCGTGGCCGCCGGCGTTTTACTCTGCATTCTGTCATGACTTGTACCTGTGGAGGCCTGACCAGCGTGTGACCAGTCCAGGACGAAGAACGAAGGGGCACGGGCACTGGTTTATGCTGATCTCAAGGTCTACTATCTGCGGCGCATTGGAGCCGTCCTCGTCACCGTACCAAAGCACGACCATGGGGCCCGGAGATATGGAGAACAAAACAGGCAGTGGAGTTTGCTATTCCCTTTCCCCCACGATTCTCTAAATTTTCCATCAAGGTTCAAGCCTGCAGGCTGGGTTGTCCGGCCTCGCCGATGATGATCATTGGGGGATTGAAGAGAGAGAGAGATATAATGGACGAGACGATCACCCGTAGTGATACCGACAAGCGGCCGTGCCTGTAAATGTTGTATAGGATAGCACAGCATAGTTCCGAACAAGTGCCGCCGCTATCGCCTCCACGTTTTCGCCCACAACTGCTCTGCAGCGAGTGATGTTCGGATACCGGCTGCCTTGGCTCACCAATGCTGCTGCAGAGAGAGGCCAACCTCAGGAGGCCAAAAAAAAAAACTCTTTGGTTCAGCAGCCCATAACCCCCCAAAGTCTCTTCTTCCCCTTCGTGCCACTACCGCGTGCGCCCACCAGGGGAACGAGGGGGCGGCCCGAGCATAAGGCCAAGTGCTGGTATTACAGCGAGTACGGAGGTGCCGGCTCAGAATGAGGCCATTCTTCTCTTCATCGCGGTTCTAGCTCGCCGGCCAACGTAGTCATGGTCTCTTGTCGGGCTGCGGTCAGAGGCCCTGGGCGATTGCTCTCGTCCGCAGTATCACGATCGCCCTCCCGTTTAACCCCCCACCCCCATCTCACCTCCTCACCTGACGTGCCGTGCCTGTCTTGCCTAGGAGATGATGACATGGAAGACGGGGGAGGCCCGAGAGACCGGTCAGTGGACGTTGCAGTCCAGGTAAGCCTCAGCCCAGGCTGAGAAGCTGGGAAATGGGAGGAGACCGGGGAGAGGCAGAAAAAAAAAGCAATCACCTTCCTCGCGGTCTCCCTCTCTCCGCCATGATTGGCGTCTGCACTACTGAGGCGGTCTCTGATCCCCAGGGGTCGGCGCCCACGCGCCCGGGATCGAGGGCGAGGTGTGTTCTCTGCTTCTACCCCCCTCCTTCGTTCTCTCTCGCCTCCAAGGTCTCTCTCTCTCTCTCTCTCTCTCTCTAGGTATCTTACTTACGGTCATAATTCAGGAGACGAACTTTTCTTCGCAAGTGATCAGCAGCCCTCGTTCCCCTCCTCCCGCCCTCCGATACCACTCATCTCTCCAGAGGCGCCCCTGATGCACTACGACACACGCTGCCCCCTGATGATCGGCATTCTTTCGCTTGTCCCTTCTGAATTCGATTCTTCCGTTCTCCAGCAGCACGCGGTGCGGTAGAAAGATGGGGAGAAGGGCCAGGGGGGTGGAGGGAGCTAGGGAAACAGTGGGCTCTCTGGACCCCCTCCCCCCCTCCTCTCACAAAATCCTCAACCCGGGGCGCGCCCCCCTGCCTACTGCGGCTGATGAGAAAGGGCGAGGCAGTATTATTTCAGCGGAAGGTTTTTTTGGTGAGGCTGCAGGGAGGTTTGCAGAATGTTACTGTCATAAGGTCGGTAGCGAGCACGGAATGGGAACATGGTAAACCTGAAAAAGACGAGAACATGAGAAAGGTTCCCGTTCCATACTCCATACCTGTGCCTGGGCGTACGCCGCGGGCTGATCTGGCCGAACCACCACTCCCCACCTCCTTTTCTTACTCGCCTCTCTTTCTCTCTCCAAGTCCCTGTCAACTTCGACACCGTACCCCCCGAGCTTTGGAATACCCACACCCACACTTGGTGCGTCGACTCTCGCCTCCGATTGCGCCCTGTCCCGCTAGCTAGTAGCTAGCTAGCAGGCGGGTGAAAGGACCACTCGACATGTCAGTTGCTCTCACGCCCCGGCGCCCGCCCACTCGTCTCGTGGCAGGGCGCCCTAGCCTGGGCAAGTGCGTCGACGGTCGCCTTGCTCTAGTTTCATTGTCGGTTAATTGACCAACCCCGTGAATAGGGCGGCGACCGTCATTCCTTTGTGCGAGAGGAGAGGGGTGTGTCTGTGTCTGTGTTTGCTTTCGCTTTCGCTTGTCTCGTCTCGTGTGGTCTGGCCTTGTCACGAGTCCTCTCCTGTCCATTTGTCTGCCCAGCAGGCGTCAGGCGGTCGAGACGTTAGTGCAAGAGCCAGAAGCAGAGAAACGTGTATAGAGTGGGGGGGGGGGTGTAGGAAGGAGAAAGAGAGAGAGGGAGCAATTGACAGACGGGTAGGGTGAGGCTGGGCGAGACAGCAGATGACAAGCAGGCCAGAACAGAGTAGGCGAGACAGAGCCTCGACTTCCCAAATAGCCCGCATGCCTAGTCGTTGCTGTCGGTGTGTATGCGTCTGTGTGTACAGTACATGAGCCACCAAGCGGCCAAGCGCGTTTGCCTTTTTTCAGCTGAGGTTGAACTGTGTCCGGGACAGGTTTTGCCCGCTTGCCTCCCCACACTGCCGTTCCTTCAATGGGGTTTCCCATTCCATATGGCGCAAAGTACACACACCTGGCGATCCGCTCGGCATTCGGAGGGTTCTGTCAGGCTGATGGCCAGGCCCAGGCGTTGCCAATGACTTGAAGCCGTTTGCTGGGGTGCAGGGAGCCAAAGATTGGCATGTTCTGTGTATCTTTTGATGGGTCTAGTGTTGCTGTTGATTGGCTTTGCCAGGCCCTCCTTTCGTCATGGACCACGTCCTGACAAGGCGTTGTTGAGGTCGTTGGGTTGAGCTTGTTTCTTTCTGCCCGCATCCGGAGACAATGCAATGCATCGAGAAGTAATTCTAATCTTGCTGACGTCGTTGATTCCGAATCTCCATCACCGAGAAGAGACATAACAGCAGGGGCAGAGCGCTTCAGCACTCCGAGCACTCCGGGTTGGGTAAGACAGAGGGTGCACTGCTATGTGCCTTGCCGAGCAGCGGACCATGCACTCCAAGGCGAGTGGCGGAAGGCTGCTGACGATGCTGGCCGTGGCGGTGATGGCCCTGGTGGCACTCGCGGCACTTCGACCAAATGTGGTGGCTGTGGGAAACGCCATAGCCCGCAACCGTCGCCGGGAAGGGGTCAGCCAGCTGGAACCCGCCCCATTGGACACGTCTGCCCGACGGTGATCGTGGCGTTGGGTGTCCATCTTGTCCGTTGTCCGGCGTTCAGACGTCAGGCACGACGATCATTCCTGCCTCTTGTTGTAGAGTGATAAACTGAGCAGGCAGGCACTTTCTTTGTCGCGCCTTCATTTTCCATCATTGCCACCTGACACAAACGAACCTTCATACGCCGCCAGTGTGCGTCTTTTCAACAATATGTAACGGGACGCTCTCTTGCCTGCATCGTGTCTATGCCGTCACCCGTGCCCATCCTGTCGAGCTTCCGCGCTGGTAACAACGTGTCTCCTCCAATCTCCTCCCACCGACTGCTGAGCACACCGTGTTAACTCGTGGCCTTATAGCTAGCCCTGGCATATTGTCGCCGAGTGCATCTCACGTCCTATGGAGTCTCCTGGTCTGCCAACTGCTCATCGTCAGCCTTATTCCGGTTCAGGACCGCCATCTTCTCCGGGCTTGGTCACGGTGGTGACACTGGACTCACGTCGATCTTTCAGGAGTATCGTCGCTCGTGTCACCCAATACTCGTCTCAGGCGGTCAAGCGGAAGCGGGCACGAAAATAGTCTCATTGGCTGGCTTCGACGCGTTTCATTTGTCTGTCCTACGTGCTCACCAGAGCTGCTCTTTCGCGGCCCGGACGGTAGCTCGAGCAGCAACGTTAGCGGCAACCTCGAAGGTCTCCATGGTAATGTTGGCAATCTCGAATTGACCGTCAAGTTGCTATATACGTAGGGTCACGTTGATACAAAAAAGTTCCTCCTGACTCCTTAGGTATGTATGTCTTGGGCCTGTCACTGAGGACCCCTTGAAACTGCAAACACAGGAACGTAGCATGCCTCGCACTGAGAAGTAGCGGTTGGCGTCACTGGCGTGGGAAGCATACTGTCAGCACGCAGGAATATGGTCTCCAGAGCCGGCAGTGCTGCCACGCCATGCATGCCATAGGGGCCATCATCTCACCGCCTTCCTCATTGTCGGCGAGGAATCTTGTCGGAACTTACAGCCCACTCATACTGAGCAAATGCACAAAAGGGCTCTCAAGAGGGTGGTGGGGCCCTGACAACACGGACACAGGTCGTCAAAATAGACTCGGATCTGCTCGACGCGCCCCTGATCGCCGCCCGCTGTTTGGGTTGCGTGCATACGGGCCGACGGGGCAGCATAGGATGGGCCTGTGAGCCACCAGGAACCTGGCCTGCAGCCATCCGCGATCACTTCCTTACTTCACGCCCCCCCCCCCCTCCCCGCGTAGCCACGGCGGCTTGACGCAGATCCGGGACCTGGATACGGAAGGGATATGTACAAGATCTACACCCCTGCCCCTAGGTACAACGGCTTACGGGAGTGGCGGCTCCTCTGGTATCGGATCGTGAATCGCTGCAGCACGCCTCCTCCAAGGATGCTAGCATTTGGACGCACGACACCATCGGGGAGAAGGGTATGGGTGCCGATGCGCAGGGGAAAAGTGTCCCTCTGCTGGTGACATCGCTGGGTGGCTGCAGCATGTCTGGTAGGACGAGACAGTCAGCACTCCTAATCGGGTATTCAGCGTCAGACCGGTAGGAAAACCAGGTCATACGTTGCGGAGATCTCACTTTGCCAGAGAAATCGTGGTTTGCGCCAGGGATATTGCTCCGGGTCGGGCCAGAGTTCACCGGGTATCCTTGCACAGCAAAGGATTTCGGCAATGTTTCCGAAGACATATCGTGGACCCGCTGAGGCGATGCAACCCTGCCAGCACTGCGCAGATGGAAAAGCCCGGCAGCCCTGTCCATTTCCGATGCCTCTGCCGGCTAAAGTGTCTGTGATTTCCAGGGGCCTGCCAACAACATGATACGTTCCAATCCACACAAACTGGTCGTTCGGAGAGAAATCCGAGACTGTAACGTCACCGTGACGTGTAACGTTATTTCTGAGGACAGGGGACCTCAAGACCAGCGCAGGATATATGAACGTGGCACCTAGTCTGTCCCGATTGGAACCCAATCTTCATTTTACAGTTCTCGTCGCGGCAAGTCGAATCCACAGGACAACATGTTGGGTCCGCAGGTACTCTCTGGGAGATCAAGGCCTTTCGACAGCCCTTCAACATGCCGTTGCTACGCAACTTGTGCTAGGATCTCATGAACTGGTTCTCACCTCAAGAGGCAAGCCCTGGACTTCGTTGACGGAGTACAACAAGGCGCTCGAAGCGCGTCCTGCAGCAAGATCGAGGTGCTTCTCTTTTCAGCCATGGCGTGCGACAACCAGTTGACGCTATATTTCCAATCGTCGCCATCGACCTCAACGGCGCGATTGCGCCAGAGTTCGTCAATTGGCAGGCTCACTCCCTCGGTCAAGCGCCCGATGACACGCATAATTTCTCATCGCGTCGGGGATGGGCATTGGAATCGGCCAGCGACTCGAACGAGTTCTGTGATTCTGACATTTAGCGATGCTTCCTACACGATCTACGAAGACGCGAGGCCGCTGTTCCTTTTCGCGCCGGCGACAGGATGAGTGCGAGGAATTGACCATCAGGAAGCTCCTCAACAGTAGACCTCGGCCTAGCGAGCAGGTACAAACTGGCCTCGAGCACCCGGTACTGTGTTGGAAGTCATTGAAGTATCCATGGTGATTTTGCACCGACAGGACAATATCTCATGTGCAAACAAGCCTTACATGGGATCAGCACCAAAACCGTACGCAAAGTGCGTTGCAAAAACAAGACGACCCTGAATTCGATCCTATTCGAATCGACTTGGGATGTCCCACAGTTTGACGAAGGAGGCAATTCCTACGAGACGGGACAGTCATCAGGGGCAGAGGTAATGTTCTCTACCTAGAGGATGTAGCCATTGTAAATGTCATCGCATCGAATGGAGCACAAGGCGAGATGGTTGCGATTGGTCAGTGGCACTGTTGTCGGAGGAGAAGCGTGAGGGGGAAAAGTGCGGATCGAGGACGTGATCAGACGAAGAAAAGGAGACAGAAGTCCTGTGCATGAGGCTTGAAAGATCCTGAGGACTGTTTCAAGAAAGAAGAAAAAAAGACTGATGCTGTTCGATCACGATCTAGGCCTCTGGGCGGAGTGGCACACCACTTTTATCCCGAGTCGCACCTGAACTGCGTCGGAACACCTCCCGAGGTAGTGAGCTGTTTCGAATTCGTCCGACATGTCCAGAGCCCGTTGAAAGCATGGTGGGCTGTTGATACGAGGTGCAGAAGCAAGTTGCTGGCCCGACTAACCTGTTCGTGAAGCACGGCTGAAGAAAGTAGTTGTGGGTGAACTTGCTCGGAAGACGGGATCAGCATTCTGCGTTAAGAAGATTCATCAACCATGGCTCATGGAGCTCGTTGTGGCTCATAATGCGGATATGTCATGGCAGCTGTTTCTCGTTGCTGCATGGAGTTGAGGCTCTGAGTAACGCTGTGTGTGGCCGACATGGAAAGAATGTAGAGGTACATCCAGGCGACGTCCCTGGGCGACGCTAGAGCTGCTCATCTACCAATGACGTGGCTAAGATTTGTACCCCGCGAGGTCCTCATCTTGGCTTTGCCCTTCAGACTCCACTGGAGCACGGCCAAGGGACACTCCAATACAGGGCCTTCGAGGTACCACCCCGCCTCCCATCCGGGTGCCTTCAAATAGTCGAGATCACCCGTGCTCAAACGTTTCCTGGTTCAGACACCAGACGAGACCAGACCACCAAATTCCATTTTCATGCGACGAGACGACCAGGTCGGCCTGTCAGGAGCTTACTCCCTCCCCGGATATCCCCCGAGCCTTGTTTCGACGACGAGCGCCACGTCCTGCGTCTGAAGATCTCCCGCAAACCTTCTCATCGTCGCAACGTATATCTTGGACGCCGGTCCAACCTCCGGCTCAACTCGAAAGCCTCGTGCTGAGCATATACAAACAAACTCGACTGTTACGTCCAACCCCGACGAGCCGGCATCGTCGTTTCTTTTTGCCTTGTTCTTCCTCCCTTGATACCCCAATTCGACACCCTCCTCACCACCCAACTCTCACCATGGAAGCCCGAGCTCCACACGGCGACATGGCTCACGATGCCACGACGGCCGCCAGCACCGACGGTAGCAGCATGGGAGGCCACGAGATGGGCATGATGGTCGTTTTCCAGAACATGATCCAAACGGCCCTTTACAGCGAGGCGTGGACGCCCAACAGCGTCGGCACGTACGCTGCTACCTGCATCTTCCTCATCGTGCTCGCCTCCCTCCTCCGCGTCATGCTCGCCGGCAAGGCCCTCCTAGAGCAGCGCTGGCTCGACCAGGAGCTCAAGCGCCGGTACGTCGTCGTCGCCGACAAGAACACCCTCGGCCAGCAGCTGTCGTCCGACAGCCTCGCCAAGCAGATGGTCATCTCGGAGAACGGCCGCGAGGAGAACGTCACCGTCGTGCAGCGAAAACACGGACTCACGAGGCCGTGGCGTTTCTCCGTCGACCCCGTCCGCGCCCTCCTCGACACGGTCATTGCCGGCGTCGGCTACCTTCTGTGAGTGTCCCTCGCGCCCTGCACGGGGTGTGCGTCGCCCGGGGAGCGAGCGCTAACGCGATATGATAGCATGTTGGCAGTCATGAGTATGAATGTCGGCTACTTCCTGTCTGTCCTGGGTGGCGTCTTCCTCGGCAGTATTGCCGTCGGTCGCTATGCCATTCACAGCGAGCACTAGAGTGTGATTGCGGGTGGCCATAACAACATGTTATTTCAGATGTCAGCCAGCCAAAACAAAGAAAAGAAAAGAAAAACAAGGCATTCTTTCGAGCGACATTCTTCCCGTCCTTTCGTGCATTCTTCCGCAGCACTGCGTATAATCCTGTAATGCGTGCCTTATTATCACAACTCCCACGGCGAAGGCCTCTTACATCCCAAGCACGTACAATCAGGAGAAGAAGCAGATCAGTATGAAAACGCAGATGAAACACGCCCTGATCGCTCTGCCTTTTTCGCGTCGAATATTGAAGCCCTGCCCGTGTCTACACTTCTCCCCCGTCCAAGCGACCGGCTCCTTCAAGTACCGGTACCTACGCCCGTAGCATCGTCATGGTCCGTGCAAGACTTCTTCTCAACCGCTCACATCGGATCCACCCTCAGAGCCAATCATGCACGTGACAGCCAGCACCCCCATTCCCACTTTGTCATCCCGCCAGTAGCTCCATCGAGGGTCAAGCCACTACAGTCAGCCACACCCCTTCACCAAAACGTCGCAAATGTGGCTGCACGCGCGCCCTCTCCCCCACCCGATGCGCGCCCACATCCGACACGGTCGCGATCACAAAACAAGAGAGACGGGCCAGGAGAAACAGCCGCCTGCCTCCCAGCCCCAGCGAAAGAGAGGAACACACGCGCACACATTCACAGACTGACACGTGTGAAATGCTGCGTTGCGATCCACCGTCGCCATCCTATGGACCAAAGGCTACTTACTTACTCCCACTCCAATCCGCGCTCGCGCCCCCTCTCCCCAGTAGGGTCCCCAGAAGGAGAGATCAGCCATCTGCCGACCTTTGTAACACCCCCGTAGCCATCGTCCAGAGTACCATGTACGTAGGTGCCCTACCGTCGTAAAGCCCCCCCCTCTTCTCGGCCCGTCACCTTGTTGTGCGGACCGCCCATGCCCGATACGTAAATGCCCCAGGCGCACTATCCCGTCCCAGGACGTAGTTCAATGCGCACCATGTCCATCACTGCCTACTTGATCAGCGAACCCAATCGAACCCAATCTGTCGGGTTCGTCGAGATCAGGTCCGTACCCTACTCATGAGTGGATGGCGAGTCGTGAGGCACGCACGCTGGATGTTCAGATCTGCGCATGTCTCATCTCGAGCGATTGGTAGCGCAGGGCCGTGAGGTTTCGGCAGTAACTACGTCTGCAGGGCGATCGAGGCAGACGTTCTGTTTCAGTGCATAGTTTTGTTTCTTCAGAGAACCATTTTTTTTTGGGCAGAAATGGCATCCTCCCCAGACCGGGTATCGCCGTTAATCCTACACGTTGGAGAGAGGGATGGCCTCTCCTGGCCGTAGTATATCATCAGACCCAACTCCGATATCGTCCCTCCCTTCCACCTTGCCGACCCAAACGACCCAACCACCGAGAGGAGAAAAAGAAACAAGCTGGCCTCTGGGCCGCGGGCATTGTGCCCCGTTATCCGCGTTCCAGACTTCCGCAGCATCGGTCTCGATCGGCATCCCTCGTCATCACACCCCAGCTCCCCCCCTCCCGCCGAGTCATCTACTGATCCGTCAAATCCACAACCTCCACCGCGTCCATGAGCAGATGCTGTGGGGTCGGGCCTGAAGATTGGCGGACCACTGAAGAAGCCTTGCAGGGCTGACCGATATTGGAGCAGACAGGACCTTGCGGGACGAGAAGAAGAAATGCAGAAAAAGCAACGATGCGTAATGCAAACAAAAAGGCACCTGTGCGAACGCCATACCGTCGGAACCTCGCATAATATGTGGGCGTTGCCTCGATGCCCAGGCGATACGTAACGTTCCAAATACTTCGGAACGTCGAGCACGCGCCGGCTTTTCAGCGGGAAAGCAAGCATCCACTCGTCGAAGAAATCTTCAATCATGACTGATGGGACGAGTGCTGAGGAAGTCCGCCTTGCGCCATGGGGTAGCCACCGCGCTGTTGCTGGTTGACGTAGCCGCCATAAGCAAGGTTCGAGGGGTCCATTCCCATATTGGCGGGCATGTAATTGGGCGGCATGTGAGGAGCGCCGGGCATACCCTGCTGACGACCGGGCTGCGGGGGAAGATGCTGCTGGGGAGGCTCCTCTGGGGACTCAACCTGGTTGCCGTCGTCGACACCGTTCTCGCCGCCCTGGCTGGGCTCCGGAGCGTTCAGACACGCCTATCACACCAATCAGTCATTATTCGCGCGACAGCAAGCTCATGGCTGTGCGCAACGCAGCATACCTGAATCAAATTCTTCCTTCGGCCTTAGTCACGAGAGGCTGGAGCTTGGTGTCGTGAAGGTGTAGACCAGGCCAGTTCGGACACAACAAGCAGGAGCACCTGAGTGCCTGTGAGGACGGATAGCTCGTATGCCTGCGAGTTCAATCGTGTTAGCGATTGCGGGGGACAACAAAGGAGATGGTGGCGCGACGACTGGTCGACGCGCCGGTGGTGACTTCTTGCCTTCTTCATAATGCCGGCCTTGCGCTTGGAAAAGGTGATGTGGCGTCTCGATTTATCGTTGATAAACTTGATCTCAATCTTGCGACGCTCACGACCTCCCTTCTCGTCATCGTCGTCGTCGTCGTCGGCGGCGCTGGGGCGCTGACGCTTGACGCCACGGTTCTCGCCGACGCTGCCATTGCCGACAGAGTGCGCCTCGTCGAGGTCGCCGGGCGAGCCCTGGTCGTGCTGATCAGTGATGTCGGCCATGGTTGTCAATTGCTTGTTCGCAAGGTATCACGAGGCAAAGAAAGACAGTTTGGTGGAGATGCTCCTTTGAGCGTTGTGCCGATTGATCTATGCTTGTTCTGGCGACAAGCGGAGAGGCTGTGTTGGTATGGACGTAGGTTTCTTCTGTCGCAGAAACCTGGTTGGCTGTTGCGCTGAATCGAGTCTGGTGGCCTGCGCGGAAGGGAGTGAGGAATTCAGATTAATTTTCGATCGACCTGTCCGACTTCAGGCGTCCGTGTTTGGTATGCAGCGTTGTGCCTGTAGAGAGCGCTCTTTGATTTGTTGTAAGAGGCCGACGCGCAAGGGGATTGAAGGGTTGGTGCCAGACCGTGGTCGGCGATTGTTGTCAAGTGTGAGCGTAGGCGTGTGTGTGTGTGGGCGCGCGCGCAAAACAAGGAAACGCGACTTGTTCACCAAGCTGTGTTCCGAGAAGGGTTCGCGGCGAAGGAGTTGAGTCCGGAGGACAAGGTGCGGCCCCAGAGTAACGGTTTTGGATGTCAAGCGATTTCCCTGTACAGAAACAAGCAACGCAAGTGTCAGCCAGAAACCTCGATTGAGGATAAGGGCGAGAGAGAGCTGCGGAGTGAATGAAAAGAGGATAGTGAGGTGGTAGCACGGGCTGTGGCCATGACCAGACAGTTTAAGAAAGCGAAAAGGCGGGGGGGCCGTCGCTCTACGCCTGGGGAACAGAGCTGGAGCCTGGTTGGAGGGCTCAGGAGGTTGGTGCTGCCGAAGGAGGGCGCACAGTGGGCCCAAGGGTGCAGGCGGCCTAGCACAGCAACGAGCTTGGCCCCTGTCCCCAGGGACCCAGGCACAGTAGTGTAGGTACGAGACTCGCCGAAGGGTGATGGCGCCCTCCACCTGCAGCTCGAGCCCTCCAACAACAGAATCCCCATTCCCCCCCTCGCGGTAGGTCTGTCCAGGTTCCCACTAGAAGACGACACCTTGTTGACACTGTCTGCGTCTGGCTCAGTGTGTAAGGTGGCCTGTCGGACCGTTGGGATGGTGGGCCATGGCTTGCAGTTTCCCACCCAGCTCGTTCCCATGGACGTGCACTGGCCATGCTTGCTGCCGGACCCGTCGCTACGGTGCCCTGGAGCTGGAATGTAGGGGATATGGCGTACAGCAGAGAGATTGGGCTTACCTGAATCTGGCGATTGGCACCTCCTGGTACAGTGTCTTTTGGAAATGGGGGTTAAATCTTTTCAGACGAGCGTCCGTTCCCGAAGGTGTGCTCGCTTTTCCGGCGGGGATCTCTGCACAACAAATCCAGTGTCAGCGTGAGTGCCCCTCCTCGACCAGAGAACCGCCCAGTCCAGATCCAGCACAGTGTCAGGAAGGGGGCATCGGTGGAAGGACGTGCGGCCCAAGCAGCGAAACAGAGGCGAGGAACAGGTGGTCCCATCCAGGGTGTGAGAATGCACGCGGTCAGTCGCTCACGCAGATAATTAATTATTCGTAGCGGGTGGAGCTTCTCAGGCACTTGCTAGGTCAGCCATTGGGATGGATGCAAACGGGGGGAACCCAGTGCGACTGGTGCGATAGGGTACGAGCGAAGATGCACCCCCTCAATCCTCATCATCATCCCGCCCTGTCCACCATTCCCCTGTCGCACAGTTTGCCGCTAACAATGCCTGGGAACATCTGAAGGAATCTGTGCCTCGGCCGGTGCCGCATGTGAAGGGGTCTGAAAAGGGCCATTCTAGAGCTTGTCATGACTCTGCCCAGGCTCTGCCCCGAAGAACATGTGGCGTCACAGTACACACGTTAGGATGTCGAAAGGTGACTCGTCGCTCTTTGCGGCGGATAACACCAAACAGCTTGTGGGCTCTCGGCGAGTGTTGTTTGCGTGAGAAGGGATCGACCGATTCGCCATACGGCGGGCGTAGGCTCTGACTGAACTTTGGCATCTGCTTGTCCGTCCATCGGGCAGCCGATTCGCAGGGGGTTGCCCTTTGTGGTGGCCAGGCTTGTACATGATTGGTCAAACGCGGTGATTGCTAGCGTGGTTCTAAGCCCGCCCGGCTCATTTGCAGTCAAAGGTGGGTAGGGTGGGAGGAAAATCGATGGTCGGGGGGGTTGAATCTCAAACCCGGCAGGCTCTGATAGTGATTGTGCTCATCGTCTGAGGCCACAGGTCCATACGTCGTAAATGGTGATGACGGGTTTGCTGAGTGAGAAGATGCCTGGGTTTGCTCCAACTGACAGCCGCTGAGCCAAGTACAGGTCCTGTCGGCCAACAGGAACGACTGACCACCCATTATCCTCTTGTAACGCGATTCATCAACAGCCCCGCCGGCGCCGCCGCCTTCGCCGGTCCACCGACCGAAGACCAGGGTTCAGCAAGGAAGATAGATTGGCAGGGGTTCGAAGCGCGACTGAAGCAACACAGTGTTGATCCAGGGCACGTAGTTTTCGGCACGGACACTCGAGTGGCCGCTCGATCGAGAGAAGAACGTGGGAGGGGCGGGGACAGCGCGGTGCTGATAGCGTGTGATTGCAAGCGTAGAGATGTCGTGAGCGCGAGCGGTCAAGGCATGGCTTACCCAGCCAGCATATGCGATGTAACTTCAAGCCACGATACGCCGAGGGAAGGGTAGACGGAGCTGGCATCTGAAGAGCTCACAGGCGGGTGCGTGGTAGGTAGGTGGTTTCGCAAGTGGAATTGCTCCGCAGAGGAGTCTTCGGGCCTGCTAATGCAATGTGCCCCCCCCCCCCCCG